TGAAGACACTTTCTCATCCTAGTGTATCAACTAAAATATGCTCACACAGCATATATTTCACCGTAGTACTTGATAAAGCACCCCTGAAGTTCTTCATTTGTAGGATTGTCATGGTTTGAGGCAATTTCTCTACCGAACCAATTCAATTACCTGGTTCATATAAAATCTTCCTCCATTTTGTTCGAAGTAAGCCACGCAGTCACAGCTTTTTCAAAACCATTACTTTCAGAATTGTAATTTATATGCTATTTTTTGACAATATGTCTTACGTGGCTCCACCAATGAAGTCATCAGAAGAAAAGGTGTCCTTGTCCATGATTTTAAGACTGAGCTTATATACTCGCCACCTTGTCCTGGATACTCGACCTTAAATGTAAGCCTCTCATTCCAAACTGGATGACCACCTTGACCTGCACCATTGATATTTTCACAGAGAAAAAGGTTATATTAAAGAAAAATTTGCCGTAAACACAGTCCGCATGCTCATTAAAATTAAATTCTAGCCTTACCTCTTTCTATTTGTATGATTGTTTAAGATTCTTGATTGCTTTTCCGTTGAGCAATCGTTGAAATAAATAGGTGAACTTAGAATATGATTGATTGCGCTTGAACAAGAGAAAAATATGTGAAAATTAGCATTGCTTCGCCTTGCTTTCAATGTTAAAAATGCAGGAAATGTTGCTGTTGGAATATAATAGTTTCATCTAAAGCAATGCAAGCAGTGTTGAATCACGCACACTCGTTGCTAGAAAATTGGTTAATTCTAGACCTTGGCTCCTCTAAACATTCTCGATTCTTTGTTTTCATTTACTGCCTACTGAGTCATGAATGGTTCGCCTCCCTTTACCAAAGTGATCCTGGATCATTTACTTTTACTGGTTAACATAAGGGATTCATTCATTTACTAGTTACTGTAATTATGGAGCATGTTTCTTCTCTTTTGGTATACTTTTAGCAACGATTGACAGGGTTAAAAAATACCCTGTTGACATAACTTATTGGGACGATGTCTTCATTGATCAGTCACTAAGTTTTGTGATTTGGTATTGGTCTAAGGAGAGAATCGGTGGTTGTTTTTACTTTTGAATCCAGTAATCCTCAAAGCCTAGCAGCACAGAGCCTGGTGATAAATATAAACTAGGGGGCCAGAAGCATCAAGTTAGTAAGTGCACATAATAGATATCAGTTATAAAATATCATTTTGCGCAAGTAAAGCGTCAATTACCTCTAGCTACACTGCTCTTGCGCTCTTGGCTTTTGTATTGCACTAGAACATATGGGTCCATATCACCTGACATCATATTGAAACTAAAGAAATTAAAATCTTCAGTTCATATTCAGAACCAAAAAAACGAAAGACTTCAGTGGTTCAGTTCTCATCGTATTTCATTTTTCAATGAGAGGATTCATCCCCAATTACTGCCTCTGCAAGTCCACCAAGGCATGTCATGTCTATTATCACATTATTTAAGGAATATATATGTAATTTGTTCATGATCCACGGCCATTAATGGCAATTGTTCATTATTTCACTACTATCGTCTACCAGATTACAGGCATGCATCCCATTTAATAAAATTACACAACAATCTGTATCTGAACTGGGGTTGAAACTAGACACGGAAATGGCAATTCAATAAAAGAAATGCGCCAAAAAAGGCCGAAAACCAAGAAAATAGGATGATGAACGAAATAAAATCAGAGTAAATCAATCATGACACGCATTTAAGTTATCAGAACAGCGAGTACCAAGAAAAAGGTGACGACAAGATCAAAAAAGGAGAGAGAAAAAACATGATCATAGACATAACTTTGGACACTGAAATAAATACGTATAGAAATGCAAAAACATGTTGTACCAAAGAAATCAGTGTCTCTGAGGCCTTTTGCGTTCACCAGCTGCACTTCCAATATTCCAACTGCCATCTCTTTCTTGCTCTATCTGGGTTTTGAGCTAGGATTCAATGCGATTCCTTCAAGGGTTTTTGTTTGAGCCTCGTTTTGACTGCATTTACATCATGGACAAATATATAGTTGCTACAATGATGGGGTGAAGATTTAAAAATGACAAACTATTGGTTGTCTTCGGTCTAATCATTTCATTGTTCTTATTTTTCTTCTTTTCTAAATGATGATGACTAGTTTTATTGTTCTTATTATTTTGCCAGATTGAATCATAGTTGAAGGCCCCAGATAGATTTATATCAAGTGGTGGCTGTAATATATACTAAATAGTCTATGCTATTACATGAGAAATTCCTCAACATGACTATTGACTAGTTGGGATAGCGTTATTGGAGCAGACGTGCGTAGCTGAGTTGATAAAATAAACGCAGCTAAGAGATATGTTTTTTTATGTTGTTTTTTTTGTTTGATTTTATTTATTTATTAATATTGATGGCTACACACAAGCTGGCATTACATACTCTACATTGATAATTATTTTATTATAGTGTTTTTTAAAATATTTTTAAAATATCTTTAATTATAACATTTATTAAATTGAAGATTATTTTTTTGGTATTCTTTCAACTATAAATCATTTTATGAAAATAATTTCAACTGACATTATTATTAGACAACACTTGTTGGGCTCAATTTACTTTAATGCCTATGGTAGAGGGGGAAATGAGGGGAAATTATTCACCTTCTTTCCCCTCACCTAGCACACAGAAAATAGAAGGAAAAAGTAATTCTAGAGGGTAACACCTGACCCCAAAAGTGAGGATAGGGAGTAAAAGATTTGTTAAGTTTTTTTTTTTTTTTTACACAAATATTTCTATATTGAGATTTGAATGCGACTTTGGTTTAACCTCTCATTCAAAGATTAAAAAACAAAAAATAAAAGAAATTTTCTGATAGACTCGATAGACAATTATGTAGTTATAAACTAATTATGTATCTATTTAGATTTTATCTAGTTTACATCATTATAATAAAAAAATAGGATTGCACCTTTTTTTTTGCAATATAATATAAAAAAGGAAATAGTGATGAATAGAAAAATGAAAATCTTGTGTTTATTTGCGTAGTTACCCTGATCAAAACGCTTTATGAATGTTGATGGGCAGATGGATGGCTGCATGCTTAATATCCAGTCATGATCTACCATGACTGGATGTTTGACAGGGCATTTGATTTTCATCCAGGAGTGCTGTAGTTTAGAGACACCGTGTGTTTTTTTATCGTAGTTTCCGTTGTTTTTTTTAAAAAATATTTTTATTTAAAAACATATTAAAATAATATTTTTAAAATTTTTAAATTTATTTTGGACACAACTCATCAAAAGAATATATATATATAGAAAATTAATTTCAAGCTAAAAAAATTCAAGAATTATCAAAAACTGTGAGAACAACACTTTAATGACTGCTACATTTCCATACAAATTGATAGATTAAATTCATGTCATTGCTACTTATTGGTTAAACATGGATACTCACACCATTAATAATTTCTCACCGGCAATAACTATACATTTTTGTTGCGGTGAGATCATTGGCAACCGAGAGCAGCTGAGTTGAATGAAAATTGGAATAAGGTATTTTTTATAATAAATTTAAAGATAAGGTTCAGATTAATTGGTTCATCGCGTAAATTCAATTTATTAGCTGATTCAAGGAAAGAACGTGAGAATCGTATAGCAAAATCATGTATAAAGATAACGAATCAAAGGAGAAAAGACAAAACAATAAAAAGGAAAATGAAGGTAATTAAATAAATAAAAAAGTGTTCTACATGGCGTCGCGTCTGATGGGGAGGCATCGACTTTTCTGGTCATCAAACTTAGAACCCGTCTACAAGCCTAGATTTACAATTCAAAGTATTTTCAGGTCAAGTTTTCATCAATACAAGTAATATTCTTGTTAATCTGCAGTTAATGGCTGCTACAGCGTATTTAATGATTTTTTTTACCTGTTCATCACTGTCAAGCCATCAAAAGTGACTAGCTCCATGATAATTACGAATGTTATGATCGACGGCTTTCAGTAGCGTTGCAAGAAGCCTAAATATTGAACAGTCTCCTATCTAAAATCCCTCCATTCCCATCAATTGGTGTTGGATTTAATTATGATATCTGATTTAGAATTATCCAACAATAAATCGAAGTAAAAGGAAAATGAAACCCCAGCTCTCTTACAAAAGAAAGTAAGAATGTTATAAAACAAAATACCAAATCATTAATATTCCCTTTACAATTTTAACTTCTTGAATCCCAAAACACTGATATCGTGAAGAATGAAATTTCTATTCCTCCCACACGAAAGGCAGTCTCGTTTTTTGACAAACAATTCTTTCCACTACCTGTCTTGAAGCAAAGGCTCTCGGCTGTGCTGATAGAGCGGCGATGGTGGGCTGGGTCTCAAATATTCACGGACAGTCTTGATTTTATCGGATTCCACAGTTTGCTCGACAGACTTGATGGGTTGCGACAATCCTGTACTTTGTGTTGTTTCCATTTGTTTCTCTCTTGTTACTCCGGGTTCTTTCCCTTTATTTATGGATTTGTCTACGTTATTGAACTCAACCGATTGAAAATTAAATGTTAGCAGTTTCTAAACTGATAATTTAGTTCAAGAAAATCTTATTTGTGAGGAACTTGAAAGACCAAGAATTTCCCAGATAATATATATTCTAAAGATTGAAGCAATGCAAGAAAGTCAGCTTCATGACTGTCATATGAAAGGCAGGTAAAAAAAATTCAACTTCTATATACACGAAGCTTTCTACTTGGAAAAATGAGCTTTGCAAAATTGTTTTAGATGGTAAATCGGATAAAAAAGGGGTTAATTGTTGCTAATTTGCTTGGGTTTAACAGAGTCTTACGGTTTCTAAGTTGAAACTTGAAAGAGAGAATAATGAGCTGGTTTTTATTTTTGATAGTTTTAAATGAGGCGTCATAAACCCAGCCAACTACTTTATAAAAATAGGGGAATTTTAAACAGGAGAGCGCCACTCGTGATAAATACTTTGAACATGTGTCTGGCCAACAGATCCACTCAAAAATCAAGAAAATAATATCATGAAATATGGAGGTAAAATCTGGAAAGTTGCATCGCATTAAGTCAGTAGAAGTGCGCTAAGGAAGAATTCAAACCATGTATACATGCGGGTTTTGGAAAAATTTCAGATGTTCCTATTCATCCACACAAGGCAACATAGAGCTGCTACCATTTGCTGATGCATGTAGAAAACCGTGTTAACCCTGGCACTATCATTTGCCCTATCTAGCATGCCTTGGTGACAAGTCAGCCGACGTAGTTCTTGATCCATAAGGTGAACTTGATGGTCTCCCAGGAGACGGCCTCCAAGCCCGTGCTTCCACAAAATCACATGCCAATTTCCTATAATGAACATGTTTTCGCTTGTCATTTAAATGCATATATCGCAAAGAAATTTATGTCAACTTATAGGCATAAACAGACTTCAGAGTGCATTCATCCCCTTCTAAATTAACTTCAACCGACAAATAACATATAAAACTGCTTAGTTTTCTTACATGGCCTAAAAACCTGAGCAGCATTCCTGTCATACCAGTATAATATTGTGTTCTCATAAACAAGGAATTTGCTGTCATGAAATTAACCATTTTTTTCATGACTTGTGCCCAATCAATCACTTCTGCATGAAAACCCACTACAAGGGCATGGAATGCCTAAAACAAATAATGATGACAGCAGTAGAGGACAAGTCACTTACTTGCCAAACCCATTGTTGTTTTTATTAAGATCATCACCATGGCCATAATGTGGAGAATACAGCCTGCAGCTGCGGCCACCATCACGCTCTGGAGGAGGACCTTTAGGAGATCTTAGATGGTCTGCATACCTTCTCTCTGGGGAAGGAGAGTAGTCTCGCTGTTGTGGGGCAGGAGAGTATGACCTGCGAATATGTTTCAACCTGTTTCAGATGTGAATTGGGTCAATACAATGGCCAATTTGAAACCATGAAGCTTACCTAGACCGGTACCGAGACCTGGAAACATGATAATGGCGAGGGGACCGTGAAAATGAATGAGAACGTCCTGAAGCATATTTGATACAGATCAGTGATTAATTTTGCAGCAAACCAATTCAGGGTCCCAACAATGGAGACAGCAAGGATGAAAGCTTGATACCAATTCAGTAATTTGATTGATAAATGAAAGTCACTAATCTCATTTCATCTGGCAAGATATTAATAAACCTTGATAACAAAAGTTCAGGCTCCGTACCAAGATATTTTCTAGGATTATCTGACCACAATCTTTTTCCTCATGGAGCTAAAAATTCAACATTTTTTTTTTTTAAATAACATCAATGCTACTTTTATGAGAATCATGATGATCCACTGCTGCAACATCAAAACCACCACAATTTCAAAACTACAATGATTTCAAAGACTCCAATTTTGTCAAAGATAAATGTTCACTTAGGAAGACGCATAGCTGCCAGAACCATAAAGCAAAAACATAAAAAACATGGTCTTCAAGCAATGCAAGAAACAAGTCATGCACGGTATCATTGTCGAATTAATCAGCTGAGCTGAACAAAGTTATTTTTGGACAACATAAAAAGGTGGCAACAACTTCAATAAACCATGGTCCATAAAAATAAAACAAAAATAAGTGATAGCGTACGAGAATACGATGATCGTCCTCCATGATCAGATGGTCCTCTGTGGAATGTACAAGTAAAATGTCAGAAATCTAAGAAAAGTAAGAAAGCAACATTAAAATCACATGGTTTATGCATATGGATTAGAGATTACCTAACCCTAGCTCTGTGGCGCATCTCCTCAGGCCTTTTTCTTGTCTCTGCTGCTACCACCACAAACATCTGCCTCCCAGCAAAAACTTGTCCGTTCATATGATGCTGAGCTTCCGTAGCATCATATGGTTCCACAAACTGCACGAACCCAAACACCTGAGGTTCCCTGCATATAAGACATGACAAAGTGTCAATCAAAGTATGGAAAGTTGTGTACAAACAAACATCGACTTTCTGATATGATTGACTAAAACAGCTTGCCTAGGGATTGCCATAATATCACTACTTGGTACCTTTCCTTTCAAATCTACAATCTAGCTCTAGAGCACTTACCCATGCGTGGACATGAATTTACACAGAGTGGGCTTAGTGGCTGACCTTTTCTTTAACAGTCAAGTTTGAAAGGCAACTTCAAAATAGCAAGTCACTTGAAAATTCTTCACATGCTTGTAAATATAAGATGCAACTCAAACCAACGTTCCCCAAACTTAAATTCTCCTCAAGTTGTCTTCAATTGTCAGGAATCAATCTTCTTCCTCTTCAAACTTCTAGTGATTGTGTATTTTTTAATTTCTCTTCATAAAGGAACATTCTTCATTGAACATTACTCTTGAGACCAGCATGTTAGGGAAAGATAAACGGTAGGTCTTCATCAATTGTGGGGCTTGGTCTTGATTTTTAATTTCAAACCAACATACCCCCTTTGTGGGGCTTGGTCTTGATTTTTAACTTCAAACCAACATACCCCCTGACAAACCAGTTCAGAATCAAATTCACTATGAAAAAGAAAACAATAACCCTGAAATAGTTTAGAATGCAATTCAGATATGTTTTCCCATGCCCATTATAGATTGTAACTGAAGTAGCTAATTTGAAACTACGAATATAGAATCAGAAGGTAAAATCCAAGAGAAGATTTTTCACCTTTTTTTGGTACAAAAAGAGACTTACTAATTTAAAACTTTGATTGGTCACTCCCAAGATTTCTCCTAATTACTATCAACTAAAACAAACAAACAACAAAGCATAGATGAGAAAAACTAGTTTACTTTCAAGGTTGAGGGAAACGACTACTTACCACATCCTTTCAAAAGAATGACTACCTTTACTGTGTGCTTGCTATCAACTAAAACAAACAAACAAACAACAATGCTGAGAACATTGAAAGTCACACACACTTAAAAGAATTTCACACCATCTGTGCTCCTATTGAACACTCATTCTAACCAGATTTTTCATCAGTCAAACGATTACTGCTCATGATTGGTTCCTTCAAAGGCTAAGGCAAATGATTCCCTTAAACTGGCTCGTGGATAGCTATGGTAGGCATTGCATGAATCCAATAAATTTGTCAAACATCCCCAAAAATAAGTCAAGAAGCAAAGTAAAGTGGAACAAGAAAATATAAAACATATACTACGTATATAACTGATACAGAAAATACGAATAAAACCACGTGAATATTTCATTAAAGATTTAACCACTTCCCCGTGCCAAAAAAAAAAACTCACCCTGTGTGATAGTCCTTAGGAATATAGACGTCTCTTACAACTCCAAATCGCTCAAATATCCCTCGAAGTTCTTCTGGTCTTTGAACCAAGATAAACAAACAAATCAGCAAAAATTTCAAAAGGTTTCTCTTAAAAGCGCAAACCTAATTCACCAAAAAAAAAAACAATGGGCGAAGTTCCAAACACCTGCAATCACGAGGAATGTTCCGAACCAAGAGGCTTCCACTATTTTGGTCCTTGCTTCTCCCATACCCACCACCACCACCTCCACGGCCTCTCCTTGGTGGGCTCCTTCCTCGCCCCCCACGGCCTCTCCTTGGTGGGCTTCTTCCTCGCCCTCCATGTCCTCTCCTTGGAGAACTGTAGTATTGTGGACTATATCTCCTCATTATACAACCTATCAATTCAAAAACATTATCATTTATGTTAATCTAACACATAAATTGAATCTTTTTAACAAAAGTTAAAAAGACTTCTCATTGCATAATCTTTTCCAGTTAAAGTAAAAATTAAGCCAGACCATGCAAAAGTAAAGAAAATCAATCTTTAAAACACAATTCCAGAACCCCAAATCCCCCTACTTGTTTTTTTCCAGTCTGACAATTAATTTAAGTTAGCTACTAATTGACTCCGCGGACTTGGTAAGTCATATCAAGAACCAAACTTTACCAATCAGAAAGAGCAATTGATCTCCACTTTTTACACGATCAACTAAAAACTCCAATTATAAAGAGTATTCAGCTTCAATTTCGGTTCTATACAACATAATTGAGAATTAGGGTTTTACCAGGTCCTTTCAGAATATAGAGGGGGGTTGTGTCCCTTTACGATTTGGGGGCATGAGGGGTAGGAGGAGGGAGAAAAATTGGCTTATTACCTGTACGTAGATAGCGTTTGGGAAGAGACTTGTGAGTTTTTTATTTAAAAATATATTTAAATATTCCTTTTTTAATTTATTTTAAATATTAAAATAACAACGAATTAAAAACATTCAGTAACATAAATTTTTATTTGGATTGCACTTTCAAAGGCTAGATCACTAGCACGTATTATGGTTACATTATAATTTGTTTAACATAAAAAAATATTTAAATATTATTAATATTTTTTATAATAAATTTTTTAAAATAAATTTAAAGAGAATATTTCAATGTTAGTCGGTTAATTTCATAATTTTAATGTTTCGAAAAAACTATTAATAAAAATATAATTTAATTTAAAAAAATATTAAATATAATATTTTAAAAAAATATTATATGTTTGATTTATTTGGATTAATTTGAGTTAGTATGTCAATTTTCATGTTAAATCAAGAAGACTTATAAAAATTAAATATAAATAAATTATAAAATTTAATTTTTAATAAATATGATATCAAATAATAAAATTAAAAAAATAATAATAAAAATAATTTAGGTTAACTCTTAATATAAAAAAAATAAAAAAATTATGAATATTAATTTTTTATCAACTAAGTGTTAAGAATTTAAATTAAAAATAATTTAAAAAAACAAGAATATAACTTGAATCAACTTCGGCAAATTCATTAAAATAATAGTATAAATTACAAGATAAATTTTTTTTTATAAAAATAAATTATAAAATTTAATTTTCAAATTAGATTTAAGAAGATAAATCCAAAAAAGAAAAGAGTTAATTGGTAAAGAAAACAATTCTGGTTGATTAAATTAACTCGTCAAATATATAATACAGATTATAAAATTATAATAACATTATAAAAAATAAATTATAAAATTCATTATCATGTAGATTAATTTTTTTTAAAATATATATAAACTGTAAAAAAAAAAAAAAACCAAGTAAAGCATGAAATATTATTTTGATAAACAGTGATCTGTAAAGTTGGTAAAATAATATATTTATTTTTTTTGCTAATGAGAGATAGGAGAAGACATCGATTTTGTTTCTAAAGCGGAATTGGTGGTGGATTTTTCACCGTGTGAACCCCAGTGAACCGGAAAAGCGGCGGTTCGATCTGGTTTTTAACAGGATTCGGGAGTGTCCGAAATTATTCCTCGCGTTAGGGCCTTGATTTGAGATGGGCTATTCAACTAGCCGACGATTCAAACTTAAAGCTAATAAGAGCCCACGAGTTGCATAAATC